ATGTTCTTCTTCTTCCTCTTCTTCCTCTTCTTCCTCTTCTTCTTCCTCTTCTTCTTCCTCTTCTTCTTCCTCTTCTTCTTCTTCTTCTTCTTCTTCTTCTTCTTCTTCTTCCTCCTCCTCTTCTTCCTCTTCCTCTTCTTCCTCTTCTTCTTCTTCCTCTTCTTCTTCCTCTTCTTCGTCTTCTTCTTCTTCCTCTTCTTCTTCACGTCTGGTGATTTGCAAATTTTATTTGAAACCCACCGTAATTTGTCACTCGTCATCCTTGTCGAAAGTAATAGATGGTAGTGAATTAATTATATATTGTTGCAGGCTAGCGTGCCCAATTTGACAGTCGTTTCATTAATTAAAAATCGACCGGAATGTCTCGTGTTTCATTGACATTGTTAAGAATCATTGCGATTTTATTTGTTTCCGTCTTTCCTTCTTTCTTTCCGATTGGATTGATCTACAAAGTGCCACAGCTACTTGGGCGCTGCCGTACCACGATGCCACGCGCCTGCTGCCGCATTGCGTTGGGGCGCCGCTGTGGCGAGATGTTAACTACCTCGCCTGATGGACAGGAGGTCGTGGGTTCGATCCAGACCCTGGCAATGCCTGTATATTTGGAGTTTGCATGTCTCTCTCCCCGTGGTCTGCGTGGATTTATCTCTGGGTCCTCCGGTCGTTCCCTCCGCATTTAGAATAAACATCACGCATTTAGAGTATTTAGCTGCTGATAAAAATGTCCACCTGATGATAAGCCACTTCGTTGGGCTATCATTTGTGATATAGCCAGGTCGCTTCTGAAAAAAAAGAGATATGTAGCTCGGTGGGGCCTCATCTTGTAAAATAAAAAAAAATGTCTTTAGTAACAGCCACGTGACCGGATCGCATCGGCACTGCCAACTTGCTCCGACCTCAGCTGCTTTCCTTTAGAACCAGAGTCGCAGAATCTGATGCCCCCGGCCTCCTCCCCCCTTCTACTCTAATTTATTTCTGTTGCCCGTGCCCTAGATCCCCTCCCACCCAAACGCACCGTCACAATCGCAGACGCTAAGCCAAGTCGAGCCTGCTTAGTGCTCAGAAGGGTTGGCCTCTTCTGCCTCTCAGCGGGGGACCCAAGGATGCAATCGGGAGGACCCACATATCAGCCCCGCTGCACGTGACCTGCCGATGGACTGTGGTGTACCCATTTTATATCGCTTGCTGGACAGCGGCTTGGAGGGATTTTTGAAGCTGGCACCAACTGTTTTAATTGCTCACCGTGAATAATGATTCGTGTTTCGGTGAAGCGCCTCGGTGCCCTTTAAACATTCGCGTCAAACATTTGAAAAAGCGACCTATTTGAAACTATTTAAATACAGACAAGGCCCACTGAGTGATATAGCTACATTTTCAGAAGCGACCTGGCTGTCAAAAATGATAGCTCAACGAAGTGGCTGGTCATGTGGAAATGTATAGCAGACAAATAGTTTGAACGCGTGATGTTTATTCTAAATGTGCATGGGAAAAAACGGAGGACCCGAAGATAAATCCACGCGACCACGGGAAAAGAGACACCGCAAACTCCAAATATTCAGCAGGTGTCAGGGTCGGGATCGAACCCATGCCCTCCTGCATACCAGGCAAAGGAGATAACATCTCGAATGACGTCATGAGATCTTTAACGTCCACTGTGAAACAGACGTAAGTATTTTTGTTTACGATTTAATATTCCCCCCGGTGATAACCGGGGCGGCCAGCCTGATTCGAACCACATACCTCTGCAAAGAGAGACAAAGGCACTTCCGCTGGGCCACGCCATAAACCCATTATATCACGGTGGCACTCCCTACACAAAACGGCACATAACGCACGTATCTATCGATCTATCTATTTGTGCAGACTGACAGGCCACGGTGTATTTTGCTTTCACACCATCCAGCAGCACCTATTTGTTAAGCTGTCTTAACCCGTCATTCCTAGCCACAGCAGCCAGATTGGGAGCAAATGAGGGCTCTTGCATTCCTCGGTGGCTCAGTGGTATTCGGAATACCGCACATTCTGTGATTTTTTTGTGTGGTTGGAATGTGTTTTTGAAAGGAAGGGGAGAAAAAAAATCCTCATTTATGTCGCGTATTCAGAAAATAATGTTTGAGGTCATACATATACGTTTTCAGTCGCATGTACCACATGCAATCACACGAAATATTAGTTTGACGATAAAAACATGTTAAACATTCGTCAATGACAATATGGCCTTAAAAAAAACTATATGTAACAGGCGACGTTTTAGGCATTGGCCTTTCTTCATATCACTTAAAAGGTAATTGCCTGAAACGTCGCCTGTAATGTTTTCCCGTGTTGTTGCTGACAAGGGTGTTGTTGTCGTCGTTGTTGTTGTTCACTGTGCTTGTGCACCACTGCCAACGCAGGAGGCAGTGGCTAGGAGTTGTTAACTACCTCGCCTGATGTGCAGGAGGTCGTGGGTTCGATCCCAACGCCTGTTGTATATTTGGAGTGTGGCATATCTTTCTTCCCGTGGTCGCGTGGATTTTTCTCCGGGTCCTCCGAGTTTTCACCTCCGCGCGTTTGGAGTATTTGGCAGCTATACATTGCCACGCGATAAACCACTTCGTTGGACTATAATTTGTGATAGCAAGGACGCTTCTGAAAAAAGAGCTATAGCTCAAGAGTGTTTTTTTTTTGTAACATCACCAAATAATGTGTCTAACATATTCTTTGGGTCTTTCGGTAAAGTCACGTAGATCGGTTCAAAGAAAATACCAATAAACTACGACGTTTCGATCGCAACACAAGCGGTCGTGATCAGGACCCAAATAATACGAATTCCTTTAAGTCAAGATTTAATGTGTCTAATAGACCGTGATATCATGCTTGATGAGGTTTAACAACAGTGTCGTTACCTCCGTTCGAATTGACGGTGAATATTCGCGGCGAGCGGTGGCGCCGGGGTGGTTAGGGCGGTGCCCTCTGCGTCACGGCTAACGTCAGTGGCGCAGTGAAAGCTGAATCTTGAACTTTCCACCGACCGCACACTGACCAGAGTGGTGAAGTATGGTCAAACATCCCCCTCCTCCCCCCCCCCCCCTCCTCCCCCCGCCACGACCAGAAAGCACTAAATAAATACGATAATACTGATTATTTCATCCATCAGTTGATTTAGCAGGAGTAGTAATTAGTAAGAGTCAAAAACGTATGATCAAGATGCAATCACGGCCGCTGATGGCATAAATGACAGGGAGCGGTGGTGCAGCGGTTAGCAACAACAACAGCGCAAATAATAATTTTATATTTGTTTCATGAAAGGGTACCGACTCGTTGCCTGCAGTCGTTGGTTTTATTTTAAATTGTAAATGTTTTTTTTGTCATTATCCTGTCCAAATTCGCGAGGGCAAATCGGTGGCTTAGCCAGTCGCAGTGGCAGCCGGCCCAGCGCTGTTGCTATGGAAACAGAGCCGGTAACCAGGCGGCACGGCCAGCCGAAGAGTTACCCGCGGGTACCACCACAGTCAGTCGCGTGTGGTGGGGTAAAGTGTGGGTACTGACCGCCCCCGTCCCTCTTCTAAGACGGCCGTGCCAGTGTGGCAGAGGAGGCCAAAAAAACCCTCCCTGGCCAGTGCCGTGAGCAATTAAGCCATTGCAGGACTGTGCCTTCGTCGTTAACGCGAAGGGACCCACAACAACGCGTTGATTGAACATTTTCTCTGAACGCTCATTGGGGGGAGAAACATCGTCATATGTATGGGACTGCAGAGCTTGGATAGTCGTTGGTGGGTGCCGGCTTTGTCTGTGTTTCCTCGGCGATTGCGAGATGCGATTTGCATACACGACTCAACATACAAAACGAACACGTTAATTTTTTTAGCAACAAACATAATTTGCACTCTTGCCTACAACCGACCGTCTTGAATGCGCCCCGATCTCGTCAGATCTCGTAAGCTCAGCATGCTTGAGCCTGGTTAAAATCCTAAATACTAGAAACTAAAACTAAACTATTTTTTTTTTATTTTACAAGGCATAATGCCCACTGAGCAATGTAGCTCTTTCTCAGAAGCGACCTGGCCACAAACGATTGCTCAACGAAGTGGCTTATCGCGTGGAAATGTATAGCAGCCAAATACTCGAGACGCACGTGTTTAAATGTGGAGGGCCAAATAGTCTGAACGCGTGGTGATGTCCGTTCTAAATGTGGAGGGAAAATGCGGAGGACCCAGAGAAAAATCCACGCGACCACCACGGGCTGAGAGAGACACGCAAACTCCAAATATACAGCAGGCGTCAGGGTCGGGGTCGAACTTACGATCCTCCTCTATACCAGGCGAGGTGGTTAACATCTCCTAGCCACCGTGGCCCTCTGCATCACAGGGGCTTGCCAGGAGTTGTAGACGTGGGCCTACCGAGGTGTGGCCAGGAGATGGCAGTTCTGAGTGTCCCCCCCACCCACCCACCACCACCACCACCTCGTATGCTCCAAAGGCGTTCCTCAGTTTGCTCTCAAGTCACGGCCATTCGTGATATTAACCAAACGTGCCGATTGCTGGACTCTCCTGCGAAGGATTCTCGAGACTTGGTGAGAAGCCCAGCACCGAGGGGAGAGTGGAGAGCCTCTGGTCATTGCCGTCTCTCTGGGGGCACCTCACAGCGACACGCGAGACGCGTCATCGGCAATTCACGTCACTCTGCCGCACGATCTTTGTCCAAATTTTTTTTTACGGTTTCTCTTGCATACGCACGATGCATGTTGAACTTCTTTCGCACCGTACGTAGCCAACCGTGGTAATCGTAGGCGCGGGATAACGACAACAAACTATAAACACCACACACACACACACACCAAGCCACGTCTTAGCCATCTCTAACCATGTTGGCGCGGCGTCGGGATCCTGAACACAACACCCACCAGTGCCTGCTCTCCACCGCTCTCAACGCGTCTGGGATTGCGAGGGTGTAGGGGGGTGGGGGTGGGGGTTTGGGGGGGTTCGAACTCTGGGGGCTGGCTGGGGTAGCGGGGCGTGAACGCGTGAGCACTCGCTGCTGGGCAACTGCGTAATTACAACCCGTGGCATCGCAGCGCACGACTGGAGCAATTCGCGTCCGCGGGGTTCGTGAGACCTTCATTAAGTGACGTTTGTGCAGGCGCTGCTTGACCTCTGTGACTGCGCTAGAAAGAAACAAAAAAATTTGCGGAAAAATAAAATCGTCATTGAAAGGAGCAGCAGCAAGCAAGCATTGCATCTCATGCCTGAGAGTCGTGATCCTGGGTAGGTGGCAGGTCTTGACACAGACTCTTGTGGCAAACTGCGGAATAGAAACGGTGCAGAGGAAACCGCAACAGAAGAGTCACTCTGTAAAATGAACACATTTTTTTTTTTTAAACCAAATAAGGCCCATTGAGCTATATAGCTATTCTTTTTTTTAAAAGCGACCTGGCCACTAATGATAGCTCAACGAAGTGGCTTATCATGTGGACATGCATCGCAGCCAAATACTCTCAAAGCGTGATCTTGATTCTAAATGTGGAGGAAAAAACCGGAGAATCCGGAGAAAAAATCTACACGACCACGGAGAGAGAGAGACACACACACACTCCAAATTTATAGGGGTCAAGGTCAGGATCGTAACCCACGACCTCCTGTATACCAGGTGAGGGAGTTAATATCTCGGCACCGCAGCGCCCTAGAGACCAAAGAAGACAACCGAACGAAAGCCTCGTCTGGCTGTCCAAAGTACAACAACAACATCTTATTGTACTCTTTGGTTCTTTCGGTCAAAGTCCCATACGTATAAAATAAAATAAATCAAGACATTTCGGGCGCAACGCAAGCGTTCGTCACCTGATGACGGACGCTTTTGACGGACGTTTGTGTTGCGCCCGAAACGTCTTGACTTATTTTATTTTATACCTACGTGACTTTGCCGAAAGAACCAAAGAGTATGGATTCCTGCAGTCACGAAAGCTTCAAATCAAGATTCAACATCTTATTCTTTGGGTCTTTCGGTAAAGTCACGTAGATAGGTTCAAATAAAATAATTTTCTCTGAACCTATCTACGTGACTTTACCGAAAGACCCAAAGAATACTAATTCCTGCAGTCACGAAAGCTATAAGTCAAGATTTAATAAAATCTTACTCTCAAGTTCAAGTAAATTTTAGTTTAATTAGGTGAGAACTCAAGGGACCAGGATGGATCTCATTTGGGAGTGTGCGCCTGGGTCACCAAAATGACGAAGCGATTTAATTCAAAACAGAGCAGTGAAGGAGAGAAATCAGAGCAAAGGCAACAGCGTGACAGACGCAATCGAAGACACTGCAACATAATTAAATGTTAAATAAAAATGCAATACCCGTAACTAAGTTGACTCGAACAAGTCACTTGTCAACCGCTCGGAGTCGTTAATTTACGGATAAGCAATAGATGTAGGGTGATAATTGCACTGGTATGTAAACAATAAAAAAACAAGACGACGTCAAATACATTTGCGAGTGAACGTGTCATGCACAGAAGAGAAGAACGCTCGAGACAGCGTCATTGCGTGATGAGGGCATCTTATACCCGTGTACATATTTACTAAAAAGGTCCGATAATGTTGTTCCAACAACCTTGTCCCTGGCTTCTCTGATGGTGTCCACGGTTGTGCCATCAGCTCCAGGAGGTCTTACCTCGGTGGGGGGCGGAGGGGGAGGGTTGGAGGCAGAGAGTGATACGATCCAATGCAAACGCAACTTTAATCTCCATATATATAAAAGGCAAAGTTGTGAATGTGTGTCTGTTCAAAATGTTTGGTGTACTTCCCGACATGCAACAAACTGGAAATTTGCCATGTGGGTACTTTACAGACTGTACACCATGCAAAAATTATAAAAAATACACTTTTTTTTTAGGGGGGGGGCTCAATAATGCATTTATTTTTTGCACGGCAAGTGAGCTGTGACGTAAAATCTGTCACGTGACCCGCGCACGTGGAAGCGTAACGCATTGTAGTGTAGTGGTTAGCGCGCTGCGCTACGAACCCAGCGATCCGAGTTCGATTCCCGCTCACGGCCACCACCGGTGACGATTATTTGAACCAGCCCTGGACCTCTCCTATGTCGACTCAGCCTCAAACAATTGACTGGTGTGGTGTGTGAACATCGCCACTGGGGAGACAAAGGCGGCCGGGCGTGGGGAATCCAAGTCCCGAGCGAAGCCGGGTAGTAAAGCTACTAATGTATACATCATGTCGCTATTAGAGACTTCCCCTTTTGAATACCGGCCGAATTGATCAAAAGCTCGCCTCACATCTTGGAGAGAGAGAGAAAAAACAGCACTAAAATAATTCGTCTCATCGACTGCGACCCGGCAGCCAGGGCAAGCACAGACCCCATCCTCTCCCTTTCCGACAACATCGTTGCGTGCGACGCACCTCTATATATATGCGTGTGTGTGTCTGCATGCTGAACTTCTTTCGCACCGTACGTAGCCAACCGTGATAATCGGAGGTGCGAAATGGGGTATTGCTATAATTCTCCACAGGAGCACGTGTCACCACCAGCCGTGCATAATCATCGTCCAGAAGAATTCAACCTCCCTCCCCTCCCTCCCTCCCACCCATTGTAAAGCAGCGCATTCATGACCATCTGCAGGATGATGGCTCTCCATACTGCGAGATTAATTATCTTCCGGCATCTCATCGTGTGGCTTGAAACTTCTCGTCATAATCTCGGGGACGACAACAAAAATCCACGCACCTGCATGATTTGTCTTCCTTGCTCCACAGAGCAGTGGCATCTACAGAGTTCCGGACGGATGCTTTTTAATCTCACGACTCGACGCCTGTATTACAAGTGTTAGATGTGTTGGTTTTATTGTTGTTACTAGATATGCGTTCATGGAATAGGCCACGTAATTATCAGACCAAAAGTTGTGTCGTTAAGACCCTCCACTACCTGACGACGGCAAACCAATTAAATTGTCACGTGGTGCACAAGCGTTTAGAGGCTCACCGCTTAATATTGCTTTAGCTCAACCGCCTGGCAAGTTGAAGCACAATTCTCACAACCAAATTAAGCAGCGATTGTAATTTGCGACGTTTCGCTTGAAAACTGCGCCAAACATCATCGGTTAAAAAACCAGGAAGTCAGAATAACAATCCAGTGGAATAGAATTCAGCAAAAATCAAGAGCACAACATTTATAACACAACTCACACATTCCCGACCCCATCGACAAAGCGAATGGGTAAAACATTTTACTGGAGGGGCAAACAGTAATTGGATTTTAAACGGATTTTATGTCTGACGTCTTGACGGCAATGTCCACGTATTGACGTGTTAGCACACTTTATAAATCAAACTTCACCCATTAGAGCCAGGACATATCGTGTCTGAGTCAGCCACTGTGTGAGTTTTAGTTCGGATCAAAGTGTCAGCTGAGCACGTTACAATATGTCACCAGACTATTTGTGTCATTAATAACAAAAAAAATGTAACCCGGTAACATTCCAGAGTTTGCCTCGCAGAAATCCTAATAGGACGTTGGGTTCGTCGTGATTCACAGGACCCCAGCGTGAGTCACAGCGGTAGGACGGCGAACCAAACGTTTGAGCAAACGAAGATTACGCGCCACGTTGCAGAGGCGGCGAGCCAGGAACGTCCTCATTAATAGCTCCTCCGTGTGCGGAATCCATTCCGCTCGTTCTCAAATAACGCCCGCACGCCCGCCCGCCCTCCCTCTCTCCCGACAATGTGCCAGAGCCACCACACTTACGAAGCGCACTGCTCATTTTTGTGTGAACTCGTTGTACAACGTCGCTGGCATTTCGCAAAGACGGTCGGAAATTGGTGATCCCGGCCACCACTGCCCGCAAACCCCCACCCCTCTCATCCTCCTTCTCCTGTCGCTGGATTACGATCGGGAGTTTCGGAGCTTGATAAATGTTCGGGTTAAATCTTAACTTAAAGCTTTCGTGACTGCAGGAATTCATATTCTTTGGGTCTTTAGGTAGAGTCCACGTAGAGAGGTTCAAAGAAAATAACAAAACAACTCCGACGTTTCGATCGCAACCCAAGCCGTCGTCATCAGGAAAGAAAAAAAACGTCGTCGTTTTTTTGTTATTTTCTTTGAACCTATCTACGTGACTTTACCGAAAGACCCAAAGAATATGAATGGTTGGGTTGTTCCGGTTTCGTTTTATATTGGGTGACGATGACAATGACGACGATGATGTAGGCACATGCGTCTGGCTTGTAATAACGTACTGAGGGGGGGGGGGGGGGGCGGTGGAGGGGGCAGAGGGTGTGCGGGTTGGCAGGGGGAGGGGTCCTGGACCCTTTTAGATATCACTTGCCACTGATGATAGCCGTAGCTAGAAATGAAACCGAGGTCGTTACGTTCATGCTGCAGCACGAGAACCAATGCACCGCTGTCTCCGCGCTGGTTTACATCATCATCATCAGCCGTCGTCAATGTAACGATAGATTAAAGCATTGTCATCGCCACCTCTCAAGGTCCTTTGATATATAACTTTCTATTACCTTGTTACCTGTACGTACAATAATGAAATCGCCTCGGTGGATGCACTACATATGTCTGTCCACATGATGATAAGCCACTTCGATGAGCTATCATTTGTGGCCAGGTTGCTCCTGAAAACGAAGCAAATGGTTCAGTGGGCTTTACCTGGCAAACAAAAAGATTGTTCAGTTTTGATAATAGGTTTATCCCCTTTTTTCTGGCAACAAAACAGGTGTTAAGATGTTAAAACACCAAACTGAAACCTTTTACAAGGAATCATGTCTGCATTGACCACAATGCTTGTGGTCAGAATGCAAACGAAAAACACATACTCTGATAATATTTGTGGCATTGTCCTTGAAACTGATTGGTCCACACCAGAGACAGCTTTCTTTTTGAGCCTCATCTCAAACGGTGTTAGACCAGAGGACGCCAAAAGGCGTCTCTTTAAGAACTGCTTTGTGACGTCGTTTATAAAGGACCACCGTCTCGCGTTCAGCCACAGTGGAGTGCGGCTCTTAAAACAGTGAGCTTCTTACGGAATTCGAAACAAACCAAAAGGGCTCTTCTTTGCTATTTTGGTTGCCGACCCGCTGAGTTACACTCTCCGCCACCCTGCAGAGGCGATCAAAAAAGTTGCCGCCTCATGGGAAAACAACGGGCCAATTAATTCTGCTTTTCAGCAAAACGACACGGGCAACTGGTGCTTTTATTTGCTGAAAAGGATAAAACCAATTTTTCATACTTCGATACTGCCAAAAAGGCCCCATTTTGAACACGGGAGAGTCGAAAAGAAAGGGCACATGCACATTTTGACAATTGGCATGATAGCTACACGATAACAGAACCCTCAAAGTAACCGGTCATTAATCATAGCATTGGTCGTGAAAGCCTTCGTGTGAGGTTAGCTCTTCGTGCCTCTTTGCGAATTTTTAACATGTTTGGTCCTTTTGTTTCACGAGTTCGTGTTTCTGAACCACGAGTCACAGTAGGAGGCATGCACTGATTAAAGAAAGTAGCACTTCACCGGCCTCTTCGTTGTATAATTTTTTTTATCTCAGCTCGCCTTTAATCGATGTCATGGGCGTAGATACTCTGATGTGTCCTTTCAGTTTTGTTCCTCCTGTACAGATATATGTATGTTGAACACGTGGGCTTTCGTTGACCAATATTATCCATAATAGAGGTCTGTGTTGTGGGTGTACTCTCCAACACATCGGTGCTGCTGTACTAGTAACGAATTGGCACGTTTTGTTTACGTGACAAACCTTACTAATTGGCTGTGTCGGGCGGTGGCGGGTTTAACGACACATTTATATATTTACGCGATCTAACCCAAGAAAAAACCTCTATCATAAATACTGTACATAACTTATTCCACCAGCCCATTCCATGACTGTGCCATCCAGATGAACGTCACTCTGGCTGTGTTTCTTGTCCATTAGCAACGTCGTGAGATTAAATCAATTCACACGGAGGATGAACAACAACAACAACAACAACAAAAACATTAATGTCAACTGTCTTCATAAATAAGCTGTGCTCGTCTAAATGTTGGCCATCACGTGTCTATTTCCCAGCGCTCTTGATCGATTCTCCGTAATTAGCAGCAGCAGCAGCCCTCGCTGCCGTTATATCCTATAATCCATACCGCCTGTGTTTAATCCATACCGCCTGTGTTTCCTTCGCGAGCAGTGTGTGTGTGTGAGTGATCGCGGGGTTAAAGGTGCAGCCCCTGCAATCGCCCGCTCACGCCACTGCTGCATGGAAGGGGGCCTCTGCCGGAGAGCTCACGAGAGGCCACTCTGGAGGGCGCTTGGCCTACTCTTCCACGATGGTCATTCACCTCCTAATAGCGCGGTTGGCTACGCGCCGTGGGAAGCGGTGCGAGTATCCACACTTTACTCCACCACCGCACGCGACCTGCCGATCGACTCACTGCGGTGTCACCAACTAATATACAGCGCTGCTGGGGTGGACTCGCTCAATGTTGGTGAAAAGATCGCACCAGCGAATTCTGCATTGCAAATCTCAGTATGCCGACCATTGCACCATGGCAGCATCCCACACCGCACGGCTTTCTCGGCTAAATGAGTATAAATAAAATAACTAGGGGCGTGTGTAGCCGATGACATGATTTTTAGATGCCGGGGAGTAATGCTTCTGTACCTTAATGATCTTGCCAAGCGCTAAGACTTTGTAAAAAAAATACAAAAATTCTGCGCAATTACTGCCACTAATTTCGCAAAAGAAGCGATGTGTCTGAGCGTAATTAGCTTTACGTGTTATATTACAAACAAAAAAGTTATTATTAACGAGCCGTTGCGAATATTTGATTTTCGTTTAAAATCGTGCATGCCCTGGCCGCAGTGTCTTTATACGGCTTCAGTATTTTTCGCGGATGAAAAAAAACCCCTAGTAATTGCTAAGAAACACATTAATTACAATTTACGGATGATGTAAGGGCCACCACATTGCTTTCTTTCACTTCAGGCCTAATTGAATCTGGAAATTAAGCGTGGAAATTGCATCTTTTTAATTGAATCTCGCAGCGCCCTCTTTTTCCCTATCGTGCCATCACGCGGCCGCTGCGTTAGCCTGAAACTGTTCATTTATTTATTTACCTTTCGAAACATCACGTCGAAATGGGTTCATTTCGACGTGATGTTTTTGTGGCACTTAAAATTTCTGGAATAATGTATGTTGAACTTCTTTCGCACCGTACGTCGCCAACCGTGCTCATCGTAGGTGCGGGGGAAAGACAACAAACTAAACACACACAAAGCAGTTCTAGAGAAATTGGGTTTTTTCAATATAGATTTAAAAGTGCATAGCTCCAGTGGCTTCCTAAAATCGGAAGGAAGAGCGTTCCAGGCGGCCGCAGAAGTGTCCCTGCTAAGTGCGCGATTGCAGTGACCGTCTTTGTGTCAACACCTATAACACCTGGTATGCACCGGTAGGTATACCCAACCGGACAGTAACCAGACTCAGGTCCAAGAGCTCACGAGTTAGGGCACATTCCGGGCGAATTATGGTCGTTTGGTGACGTGCTGGCTACCGTCATGCCAGCCGTGCTCTGCAGCCCCTGTAAACCCTCCCTTCCTACACGTAGCGTGCTCGCTACCGTGTCAGCTGTTTTTGTTCGGGGTCGCCACTGAAATAGAGATTCTGAGCTCAATTGGGCCTCACCTGAAACAAAACGAACGACTGTTTTAACGGGCCGGGTCAACAAAGGTCACGCCAACTTTGTGACTCACCTCTTTGCTGGCTGAGGGAGGAAGCGAAGTGAGCAAGGGAGGTGGCGTCGGACTTCATGTTCGCTTATTAAAAGTTACTGACCAGGGATGAATAAGATGGTGTATTTTTGGTGTGATATTGCATGTGCAAAGGTGCAAATTGCAGTAATCATAACTCAACACGTGCCTGTATAACACTGCTCTAAAGAGGAAACATTATATATGACGATAATTATTTTATTGTATTGAGCATCACCGCAAATTGCACCTCAAAACGCCGAACGTTGCGAATGACAATTTTAGCATCAAACCCGGACACGAGGGCACGACACTGACGCAACACGAACGCGAACCACGTGGGAGCAAGAAGAGTGCACTCCGAAACTCACGGAACGTCCTGGAGATGACCACAAAATACAAAAGGTGTTGGACAATGTGCCCTTCATTGTCGGAGAGAAAGGGGTTCTTTCCCTCTCTCTGCGACGAGTAAGAGCTATTTCCCGAGTTGTTAGGGCTCTCTGTGTGATTGTAGTGGGCCTCGAGTGACTGCAGGGGATGCACGCAAACCCATTGCGTGCATCCGTAGAAGAGGTTTTTGGGTTGGATCGCGCATATATTAATTCGTAGTTAAACCCGCCACCATCCGACACAGCCAATTCGTAAGGTTTGTAACGTAAACAAAACATGGCAATTTGTTACTAGTACAGCACACCGGTGTGTTAGCAGTTCACCGTTGCATGGAATGTATACGAATACAAAAAAACACGTGGATTCTTACACACGTGCTTTTATGGGCATATTGTAAAATTATAAAATCGATAATCGATTGATTGATAATACACCCCGAAAGAAAATGCAAATGCGTGCTCTACAAGTGAGCCTACTTGAATTATCTTAACTGATTTACCTAACAGGTTACTTTACATCCCGTGTAAGTAGTAACTTAGAATTGTGGCGTCCGTCCTTTGGAGAACGGGTGGAAGGAAGGTGGCTCAGCGACTGGTGATGAAGTCACAAAGACGCAGACCCCTCCCCCTCCCCCCGTATAGCCTACACATGCTTGTCGGTGCAAGTGCCGTTAGCGAGTACCTCTTGACTATTTAAACGATGAACTTTTTTATTTATTTTACCAGGCAAGTCCCACTGAGCTATATAGCTCTTTTTCAGAAGCGATCTGGCCGCAAATGATAGCTCAACGAGGTAGCTTATGGCGTGGACATGTATAGCGGCCAAACACCTATGAAGGCCGGAACG